TTTTTTAGCTAATTTATTAGCTGATTTTTATTAATTGTATTAAGTTTATCAATTAACTTATCAGCTAATTTGTTTTTAAAGAGTAAATGAAGATCATTGATAAGGATTAAGGATGTCTACTATTTTTAAATATTAGTTTTTTTAGATTTATAAATGGCAATAATTATTTTAAATTAAATATTAGATATGATTCTCCTTTTCAGTTACTCCTGTACTTAATTCAGTTTCATCGACTTTTCCCCCCATAAACTAAATTAATAATATGAACCTAATCGATGATTTTGAAACCAAGTTACTTTTAGAGGTGGTTTTTTGATTTATTTTAGTCTGATGCTGGTGATAAGCTAAATGTTAGTGTTTGGATGAGGAAAAATAAAACTGTTTATATCGGTGCCAAATCGGTAATAAGCAGTTTTTGATAAGTTAATCTTTCATGACTTATGAAAAACTGTTTATTACCAGTTTTTCATTTTAACCCTATTTTATTAATGTTTGTTAATTATTAATCTTATTGATATAAATTATTAATCTTATTGATATAAATTTTTGTCAAATATATTATTATAAATGATGAAAAATAAATTTTTACATGTTAAAAAATCAAATAAGTTAATAAGCAATCACAAACACTCCAATAAGTCAATAATATGGAAGACTGTCTTTTTTGGTCATTTTACATATATAAGCAAAATTTGTCAAACACTAAAAAACAACTTATTAACTTATTACTTTTTGGTACCAATATAAGCTGACCCAAACATTTTTTACAAAACTTCGGTTTAATACCACATAAGTTAATAAATACTTTTACAGAAAAACATAAGTTGTTTTAAATAAGCAATCCCAAACACCCCCTACAAATTGTAATAATAAACCATCAATGTCAATTGAAAATTATATGCCCACTTTTTTAATTAAAAGTCAACGATTAGTATATTATAACTCATTAATTTCAACCACAAGGGTAGTGCTCAATTGGTTTGAGCTTGGTCTCTAAAGATCAAAAGTATCTGAAGATCCCAGATTCGAATCCAATGAGTAATAAAAAATCCCCTTGTGGTCACGGAAGTTCAAATGCGGTGACTCCGAACTACCTGTTAAGTGAGTGGTCGTCCTGAAATTAGTCGACTCGCATAACGGATTGGATATTAATCATTAATTTCAACGGTTAACCTTTTAAGACAATGACCCCTTGCCCTTCATTTCTTTGTTATTTATTGTTAATTGAACCATTCATTCTTGACCACCAAATTGGAGCATTAATGTGTCAAAGCATCTACACAAAAAGACGTCTTTTTTTTTTTCCTTCTCCATTCAAAAAGTGGAATCTTTTTAACATTTATATGTAAGAGAAGAAAGGATTATACGATAACAGGAGTTAAGACGAGAAGTGGGAAAAGTGATCTAAACCTTTGATCATTTTTAATTTCATCCCCACCCCATAAATTGCATTTATCATGGATTTTGATCAAGTTCATGTTGGTGCATCGTATTAGTATTGATCTTCAATTATGATTGATTCAATGATGGAGATTCATTCTTACCCTTTTCACCATAACTTCAATTCTCACCAGAATTTAACCCTTAGGAAACACATATTTAACTATGTATCATTTGTAATTTCTATTATGTTAAAATATACATTTTAAAATTTCTTTTTTAACAAAAAATTATATTAAATTTTCATTTATGTGCAATAAAATCTTACTTATCACCAGATACACAACTAATTTTTGTAAATTGTATTAAAATGAAATCAATTTCGGAAGCAACACCATTATTTAAAACTTGTCAACCATCATTCAAAACTTTTCATATTAAAAACCATGATTCAAAATCTTTTTAATTTTAAAAAATCAAATTTAATTTAAAAAAAAAAATCAATTTTAATTTGATTATGTGAAAAGTTGACCACTCTACGTACTTTTAATTTGCACCATTGAAAATGCTTAGAATAATTATTTTATTGAATACCACATCTTTATCTCTCTCTCTCTCTCTATATATATATATACATATATATTATATCATGGGAATTATAAAAAAAATAAAGATTCATGAGAAGTAATAATCATGCGTTGTATATTATAAAATTAAATTATGAAAAAAGAACACACATTAAACATAATCAAATTGTGAAATAACATGTATTTTTCATAATATGAAACAACACATGTTAAGTCATTTTCACGGTTCTCAACTTTTTTGTATTTTTCAAAGCATGTAAACAAGAACACCACTATTTTTCGTAAATTAAAAAACACTGATATCATACAATAATACATGTGAATAACTTAGGTCGTCTACGTCTCTGAACTATTCTTTCTCTCTCTCTCTCTCTATACATATATATATATATATATATATATTATATATCTGAGAATTGGAACATTCATTTTTGACCATTGAATGGGAACATTTTATGTGTTAGAATCTACACAAAAAGAGTCCTGACCCTTTTTTTCTTTTTTTTATTTATCATAAAATATTCTTGTTATATCGAGCCTCCCCTTCTATATCAAAAAAAAAAAAAAGATTCTTGTTATTTCAAACTCTAATTCTTTTTGTTCAGTACTGGATCGATGTCCATATTTTATAAGAATGTTTCAATTAGTATAAAATACGAACAACAAATCATGTTATATAATCGAATTCTCTTTTTGTTTTCTTATTATTTTTATCATATCATTGACACACATTAAATAAAACATAATTTACTATGGTTTTATATTTTAAGCAACTTTCTTTGAAAACCTTGTCTTGGATGGATGCGAAACAACCAAATATTTAGGTGCATATCGATTTTAGAGCAACTCCATTTTCAACTCAAGCGTGAGCTCTATATTGGCATTGGGCCCCTTTTCCTCGTGTACATTGGAATCGTACAGATCCTCAAGGGCTCTTATGAAGAGCAACACGAGAGTTGTACATATTCTTGTGTAGTATCAGAGTCAAGATCTAGACTTGACAGTCGACACTTTAAGGTAAACCTGTAGTCGACTATCCACCTCTTCGAAACAATGGTTCCACATGCATATTCTCATATCAAGAATGTAAAAAGAAGATAAACATAAGTGATGGCAAACATTGTTCTATTTCCCCCCATGCAGCATCATGAGTTGATTAGAGGGAATTATATATATATATATATATATATATATAGAGA